AAATGGTGCTGGAGCAGCTGCATAGCTATATGGAAAAGAAGGAACCTTGACCTTTACTTTATACTATGTACAAAATTAATTTCAGTGTATTCTGGTCGTTTCTTCCAATCCTGTGCCTTCTCATAGGCTTCTTCATTTCATTTAAGACAATTCAATCTTTCCATTTCCTCAGGGTAAAAACTCTGGGTTCACCCTTAAATTCTCTCTCTTTATTCACACTCTCACCCTGATAGTGGGTTCTGTTAGGTTCACTTTCAAAGTAGTTCATCTCTTGCGTGGACACTTGGCCACATCTGCCTTTGAGGGTTTATTCTTATCCTAGCACCCCGGAAAGTTTTGATTATATATAAGCCAGGTGAAATTATTCTTTTTCTCAAAGCTACCAACCTTCATCTCACTTGGAATAAAAAAATTCTTCCTGTGATCTACAAGGCCATACTTGATCTGCTCCTTATCCCTGTAACCCTGAGCTGTGAACACTTCAGGCATAATCCCTTCTTACAACTTTTTATTGCTATTCATCAGCATCTAAGATAGCATCAAAGATAGTGCTCGGCACATTTTAGACATTTAATAAACACTTACTGAATGAAAGAATAAATTGGAATTTGGGTCCATAGACTACTAGTTTCCCATTTCCAAACCATTCTCCCATCCAAGGATATTTTATGTTTTCCTTGTGAATTACTTGGCTATTCAATTAGATTATAAGAGCATTAATGGTAGGAAATGAGGATCTTATCTTACTCTGATTTATATTCTCTATTGTCGCTAGCATTGTGAGGGGCATGTGGGAGTGGCTTGCCTTCTCCAATTTACTACATCAATTCCCTACACCATATGTCACAGCATGTAAATCTATGAGGTCTGCCTCCTTATAACTCTCTACAAAATATTTCATATCTTAGAAATACTTGAGTCCTGGTATATTTTAATTCTAGGACAATTACATAATTATGACTTATAGTCACAACTACTGTGTCCACACTTGTAAGCAAAAATATTGAGAAGATTTTTGGAGACTAATTGACTAGAAGGAGGTACAGTAGTAAAAACACATTAGCAGTCAATTGCCAGGATCTTCAAGCCCAGCCTTTTAGTAGCTGGATAATCTGATGCAGGTCCCTCTGCCAGTTTCTCATTTTTACAGTGAGGGCGGGTAGACTAGAACAAACTTCTCCATTAATATTTATTGTAACCCCTGGTAAGACTCAGGGGTGAGTCAGGGAACTGAATCTTCCTTTTCCATGCATCAAAGCCTTTTGTGTAAAAGGTCCATGGGACCACTTTCCAGTACACATTTAGTAGTTTAGGATAATCTAGACAGTCCTGTCGGAAAGAAGTATGAGTTAAACAAAAAACTTAAAACTTTCTAGTACTTACATTATAAAAATAAACCTGTGATTAACCTGTAATCTTGATAATATATTTGATTTAACTCCATATAGCTAAAGCATTACCTTCTCAACAAGTAATCAAAACGTAAAATATAAAGGTGAATAATGAGATCTTTGTGTATACTTTCGTACTAAGTTGTCAAAGTCTCGTGTGTCTTCACACTTATAGCACATCTCAATATGGACTTAGCTCATGTCCAGAGCTAAGAAGTCATGTGGGTCTTGGGTAGCCATACTAGAGGCATGTCGAGAACATATGTGAGTTAATGTAAGATTCAGATTTTTCAGGCTGAAAGAGCTACGACTGAACAATAAGTTCAAGGAGGAAATGAAACCATAGCCCATCTGAGCTCCTCCTTCTATTACTAAGGATGACTAACATTTATAGATGGTGTATACTAGGCCAGGTGCTTAGCACTTTATTTCATTTAATTCTTATGACAATCTTACAAGTAAGATCCCTCCCTCCCTTTATAGGAATCATACATAAGCTGGCGCATGAAAATCAAGTAACTTGCTGTTAGGACTTATGAGTGTATTTTTTCAGGCAATTGCATGCAAGGATATGGGAAAGGCAATTGGCCACATCGTTTATCCTCTACACCTCTCCAGGCTCATGAGAAAGGCTGACTTGATCCCTTCAGGTGACTCCCCTGTGCTTACCCTATGGGGAGAGGGCTGCGGAGACCCTGATCTGTGTCTTAGCAACTCAGCCTCAAGTCTCCCATGGTCACTCTGGTCAACAATTTAGACCAGTAAAATGTTAGGGCTGACCTTGTTAACTTTATAAAAGCACTGCTTCTTCTGCAGCACCGTACCTGACTTGAGTGGCATCTTCTACAGGAAGATGAGAAGACCTGATGTGCACATGAGCTCATTGGGAACGCAGTTGCAGGAAAGAATAAAGAGAGTTGATAGGTTGGCACAATTGAAGAGTTAAGTCTTAGAATTGTTAATGCCTGAACCAAAGCACAGTGTAAAAAGACAAATAGACAAACACCTATCTTGACTTCCTCTTTCCCCTTCCTGTTTCATTTCTTATCCTTCATTGGTCAACCTTTCCTTCCTCTTTCTCTATCTCCAGCTCTCCTCCCTTCTCAATTTCCTTTTCTCCATCTTCCATCATCATCTAATCTACCTTTTCTTTTTCTCCAAAATAATATATTCAACTTGGTGACTCACTTGGGGACTGGTTGGAGCAAAGGTGTTATTCATGCCAACTTGAGGAAATATGGCTAATTCTGAAATTGTTTTCTTTTGTAGAAAAATGTGAAAATGGGAAATGATAGCTCCTTTGAAGCCACAGAAAATCCTACTGTGAGGCATAGACATTAGAACTATAAAAGGACTTGGAGATAACTGATGAAGCTCTTTGTCTTCCTGGAAGGTGCAGAGGGGAAATCATGTGCCCAAGGGTACTTGAGATGGTATTGGTAGCTGGTAGGAGGTGCGGGAAGAGGTGGTGGATTAGCAGTTGGACTGCCCCAATCTCATGACACTAAACATTAATTATTTCTCTAACCCTGCTGTACACTATCAGGACGTTTTAATTTTTCCTCTTCTGTTTTGGTCTACATGAAATTCATATTGATGTGGGACAGCCTATTCCCTCTTGGAATGATTGCTCTTTCATACTTGGTAAGCCACATTGGGTGCTGAGAGGCTATCTCTGACCTGGAGAGAGGACACTCACCCTGCCATAGGTGGAGACCCGACATGGCAGGGCCCTCTAGTTTTCCTTGAAAGACATCTTTTTCCTCCTTTCTTCATCTTTCTTTACAGTTTCTTCTCCCCTCTTTAATTTAAATCTTATTTTTTTCCTCTTCTTTCTCTGAGTCATTTCTTTCCTCTCTTCTGCCTTATATCTACCATGGGACTCATGGAGCTTGGAGCCAATGAGATAGCCCACCCTGCAGATCAGTGAAAACATAGCGTGCTCATTCAACAGCCAACCTCACTGAGCTTTGAATATGAGCCAGTGTGCTCATATTTGTTATTCCTTCTAATCCTTAAATTTTTTAATGTATTAGGTAGTTATATCATTATCTGCATCTTACAGGTGAGAAAGTGGGGCCATAGAGGTAAAAAACCTTGCTCAGGATTGTGCAGCCAGTAAATGGCAGGGTGGACATGGCTATCTGATTTCACAGTTCATGTTCAGAGCCAACAGGTGTGCCACCCGTCATGCATGGGTTCCCAATGTCTGTTCAAGTTTACTTCTGTCCTTCGTCCCCTTGCTGAAGGTCTGTTTCGTTCCATTTCTATGTATGGGTGTTCACAGTTGATGTGTATAGGAGGAGACCCCAGGCAAGTAGCATGTTGTCTGACCCATGCTCTGAAACTTTATCTCTGGAAGGCAGAATAGTGCTCAAGAGAGCAGAGTTAGGGAGGCGGAGGTTTTGATCCTGTGCCCTACAAGCTGCTTGATCTTGACCTGTGACCTATTTCTCCTATTCTTTCTTATTGATAAACGGGCTATGAGACATTTATGTGAACTTATTTTGAAGTATAAGACATGCAGAAAAGTGCATAAATCCTAATAGCACAACTCAGTATATTTTCACAAAGTGGTACATCACACATTGAGGAATGGAGCATTCCCCAAACCCTAGAAACCCTTCCTGTCCTCTCCCAGGCAAGGAAAGGTGTCCTCTCCCCACCCCCAGCCAAGAGTCTCCCTTCCCCAATCTCAAATTTTATTTTTATCTAGGTTGAAATGTCTCTTTAGTATTTGGTTCCTTTTGGCTAACATCATGTTTATGAGAGTCACCTATGTTATTAGGAATGCTTGCCACTTAAAAATTCTCTTTATTGAAGAGTAGTTCAATTGTAAACACCACAGTTCAATGACCTGTTCCATTGTTGGTGGACATTTGGGTTGTTTGCAGTTTTTAGCTTTCATAAATAAGGCTACTCTGAAATTCTTGTTTAAGTTTTCTGGTGGGCAGAGACAGTCACATAGAAGTGGGATTTCTGGTTATAGAAAATGAACATCTTCCAGCTTTATAGAATCTGCCCAGCATTTTAATGAATTTATTTGACCTCACAATGTAGTGAGAATTACATTAGCTGTAGAAAGTGCTCAGTATCACCTTTGGCAAAAAATGTAATGAAGGTATGAGATCCTATTAAATCCAAGAATTGTCATGGACCTAGACATTCTCTTCTGCTTGTCCATTGTTTGGTTATTTTATATATCATGTTGCAATAACAACTCTCTTTATAGCTGTTTCCTTCTTTTGACAAATTTGCTTTGGTAAGCTCTCGCAGTAGGTTGAATTGTACCAAAGGTTTATGACGGTAAGAACCATCACCCTTAAGAGGGATTATGAAGCCTTGCTCAGGACAAGGAGGGCAAGGGACAGGAAGTAAGCCTCTACCACCATGACTTAGGGAAGGGAGGCGTGAACAGGTGGCATGTGGGTTTCAGAGTGGAGTGTCTTTTAGTGTCTTTTAACAGGGTAGGCTAAAATGGAGAACGAGTTTTATGAATGGTGGTGCATATTAACTAAATATTTAATCCCTTAGAAGAGAAACTGGGTAATTGGAAAAACAATGACCAAGAACCATTAAATGAGGAAGGAGAGCAATCTCAAGTGCAAAGATTCACTTTATTCATTGTTCTCTTCAAATATTAGCAGGATTAAAGCCAGGGCAGGGAAGGGGATGAGGTGGGGAAAGGGATTCAGGGATGCAACAGGGATAGGTCCTTTGTGGGAAAAGGGAAAAGGTTTGATGAGGGTCAAAGCTTGGCCTGAGGAGCAGGTGCTGGTGCCTGGCAGGCCTCTGGCTCTAACACTCATTCTTACTGACACTCTTGACAATGGGCGAAGTTAGGCTCTCATGGCTGACCTCACAGACAAAGATGTTATGACTGTCGTACTCTCCCTGGGTCAGTGACAGGATGCTGCTGAGGCTGTAGGTGCTGTCCTTGGTGTCCTGATCTGTGAAACTATTTAGGAAGCCATCTTTCTTTTCAACGCCATCTACCTTCCACTTGATATCAATTTCTTTGGGGTAGAAGTTATTCACAAAGCACACAAGTGAGGCACTTCCAGACTTCAGTTCCTCAGGAGATGGTTGGAAGATGGAGACAGTTGGCTTAGCCGCAGTCCCTGAGGAAGGAAGTACAGAGAATGGATTTAAGCCACAGAGAAGGCCTCCTCTTGGATGCTTGTTTGTGGATGGTCACATTAGACACACACACACACACACACACACACAAACAAAAACAAAATAAAACAACAAAAACAAAAACAAAACAAAACAAAAACCTGCATGCTTGTCCTGCAGAATTGGAGCAACAAGGTCAGGAAGTACATGTATAAACTCCATATTTTTGAGCTACTCCCTAGCTCCCTCACTACTCCTTGAGAAGTTCTAAATTGTGTTTGAACTCTTAGAAGCCATTCTGAGGCCTCTTTGCAGGCTTTTTGACCTTACTTTTCTTTTCTTCAACTGTGGACCCTGGCAGCTGCTGGGTCAATGCTTTAAGCAAAGAAAACAGGTCACTTGTCTGACTCCCTTGGAGTTCAGAAGTCTGAACAGTTCTGTCCTTGCTATATGAATGAACACAAAGCAGTAGATCTGATTTCATTTCCCCTATTCCTCTTCCATGACCATGCTGTGAAATCAGGCTACTCCAGGCTTCCTTTGGCATAGCTAGGCCAAACAAACCCTGCCAAGGAGGCCCAAGCCAGGGTCTGTGCCTGGGTGGGTATCAGCCCCTTCACCCTTTGGGATTATCCCAGCAACTCTCCAAGCTCTCACTAAGGTCTCCAAGTGACACCTGGGTCCTGGCCTAATGGTCATAGTGAAACAAGGCAAGTTTTAGCCAGTTGAGAAGGGTCAACTGTAGTCTTGGCCACCTGCCTGGGAGGAGCTGGGTAGCCTCACTTCTGACCTTGAACAGCTGCCAGGTGGCCTCCTGGAAATTCCCCTTTGAGGGGACATAAGCCCTTGGGTGGGACAACAATAATTAAAATGAAAAATCAAGCATCCTTTGCTGAGAGAAATAAACAGAGTCATGAACTTTTTTTTTAAACTAAAGTTAACCAAGCAATTCAACATAAAATACTGAACTTTTTATATTTGATATTTTCTTTTTTTAAACCTTCATTATCAACTTTTTCCTTAAATAACTGTATAAAATAGACTTGCCAGCAAAATAATATGCTTTCTGCACAATAAGCAGAGAAAAATGTCCTAAGAAGACCCTCTTATCTGAATGAATTCTTAATAGCTTTAAATTTTCCATCTGGCTGTAAAAAGGTTTAACAATTATTACTTCTTAAAATAGAGTTTAAAACTCTTTAAAAGAGTTTTTTAAAGACTTTGAAATAATTTTAAAGCCACTTAAGGTAGTTAAATAATTTAAATGTTTCTGAAATGTCTTCAAAAGACTTTTAAAAAGGCCCTAACATTGTCTTGCCAAGTTCTTCAGACCGAATTAATCCTTCTTAAACATTGATTTTGAAATTAGTTGGGGTAGCCAACAGTATCATTGACAAAATAAAATTATTGAACTATTTTAGAGAACATGGGATTAAAATAGCCAGATTAAAATTTTTTCTATTACAGAATTAAAGTATAGGAAAATATGTTTTTTTTTTTTCATTTCATTTTTCTTTTGGAAAATATGTTTATATTAAGTTTTTCTTAATCACATGTACATATGATTAGATTTTTGTACAACTATAACATAATCCTACCCAGTTAAATTTTTGAAAACTAAAAATATCACAATTCATCTCATTTTTAATCAGTTAATATATCATACTGGCATTTAATGTGGACGCAGTAAAAGTGAATCGATCATTTCCTGAGCAGCCAGATTGCTGGCATTAAATCCAGCTTTTGCTGGTGCGGATCTTACTCTGAAAGACTATATTTCTTTCTTTTGGGTCAAGCTTTTATTATTTAAATAAATTCAATAAATAATAAATGAATTTGATAAAATAATCTTACCAAAACTCCCCCAGTTTTCTGTTATTTACAGTCTCCTGATGGAAATTTTCAATGAGAGGATATAATCATGGATGTGAATTCTAGTTCTGACATCTCTAAAATAATTTTCTCCTTGTTTGCCCGGGGCTGGCACAGCGCCCGCCCGTTTCTCTCTGCTTGGCGTTAGTGGCATTGGCTGTATCACTGTGAGCCAGGAACCCGCCGCGGCTAACGCGTGGCCGTGGCCCTGGGCGGCCAGCGCACGGCCACCAGAGTCGTTCAGTCATGACCAAGACCGCCATGAGGGCCATAGACCACGCTGGCTGCTCGCGGCCTCCTTGTTGGTATAAAAATACAGACAAGTAGTAACTGGGAGAAATAAAAGAACAAATTCTTTAAAACATTTCCTATTTTTCTCCAAACCTGTGAACACTTAAAAAGTGCAATTATTTACTTCCCTTCACTTAAATCTTTTTGAAACTGAGTTTTTGGGGACAACTGCTTTTCACCATCAGGATGAGGTTTCAAGTTTAATGATTAAAAAGGGAGTTATCTGTCGGATCTTATTCCTACAGAATCTCTCATTCTGATAGTTTATCACTCTCTTAGACTCCAAAAGTAACGTTGATCCTCAAATATACTTTTCTAACTTCTTATTGATTTTTTAGTGCACGATAACTGATTTTTATAGTTGTCTTATTAAATTATTTATCAGACAAAAGAGAGCAAACAGGCTAAGAAATAGATTTCTCACCTTTTCTATGTCACACACAACAGTCCACAACACAGTACTTGGTAAAACTCAGTAAACATGAATATGCTTTTGCTTTTTAGAGTTCTAAGTGTCCCTTCTTCATCTACATTATTTTTTTCCTTTGAGTCATTCCATTTAGCCCAATTTAATCTTTTTGTCTCCTAATTCATTTTTGAAGCTGAGTTTAACTTTTACACCTGATGATAAACCTGAAATGCTCTCATTTGCTCATCTACATAAAACTCCATAAACTTCTAAAAGGCAGTACTACCAGCAGTTAGACCCAAATTTCAAGAGGCAATAAAGAAAAATTACTTACATTTACTCTCTATTCGTGTCCCTCTGCCAAAGGTGATACACTGAAGTAGCTTAATTATTTTCCCCTCAAAAAAAACCCCTCTTTTTGCTGCTTATAATACACAGAGAAAACCTGGCCTGTTAGATGCCACATCTACTGACTAGCTCTTTGTTCTTCCTTGAGATGAGTAGAGTTTTAAGTCCCATACTTAACTGACTTTTGGAAGAAAACTGTTCTCTCCAGAATTGACCTCAACTCATATTCCAAACATGAACACCCTCAAATTTGACAATGCTATATGAAAAAGAATTAGAAAAATGCACTTACTTTTGATCTCCACCCTGGTTCCTTTGCCGAACGTGAACCACAGTGAGGGCTCTAACACTCCCTCCAAAATAAAAACCTCCCTTTGAAGCCAATCAGTTGAGACAGGCCAATTCAGAGAAAAACCAGCTTTTGCTTTCCCATTCTCCCCATAAGTACTTTTCTCCCCCACAAATCTAGAAATCTGCTCAGCTTTTAAGTTGGCTATTTTATGGTGTTCTCCTGTTTTCTTTCAGGCCACCAGGAATGGTTCACTTAGCTAACATATCATAAACTCACACAAATGATACAAGGAGACCAACAACTTCACAAATAATCGAGCAAAATGTACTTACGTTTGATTTCCACTTTGGTCCCGGCTCCGAAAGTGAGTCACAGTGACTCGTCTTAACTTCTCCTTTGACAAAAACCTCCCTAAGACAGTTATCTCTCTTCCCCAATTAAGTTATTTTGATTTAGGCCTGGTGCTGGTGGCTCATGCCTATAATCCCCGCTATTCAGGAGGCAGAAATCAGGAGCATGGCAGTTCAAAGCCAGCCTAAGGCAATTAGTTTGGGAAACCCCATCACAAAAAAGGGCTGATGGAATGACGAAAGCAGTAAGAGAGCTGCCTAGCAAACATGAAGCCCTGAATTCAAACCCCAGTGCTTCCAAGTTATTTTGATTTAGAAACATTAAAAATTAGCCATCGGCTAGACTCCTGTGGAACAAATTCCTCTCCTCTGTACCTAATCTGTAAATGAAATTTATTACATCCCTGACATCCAACTAATAAAAACACACAAAAAGGAACAAAAAGCAAACCAATTAGACAGAAACAATGAAGAATCACTTCAAAAAGGTACTTACGTTTGATTTCCAGCTTGGTCCCCTGGCCAAAAGTATACACACAATGGTTCTCCTTAACCTCCTTCCTATACAAAAACTGAAGTTCCCTTTCTGACAACTGAGCAATGCTCTGTCTGGAACATGCTAGTGTGCTCCTCTGTATATTTCTGAAATGACCTCTAGACAATTTTATTCTCATTTAATGACTGACTCTTGCTCTTTATAGAAAATACACAATCCAGTCTCAAGTCTATTTACAGAGCTCATCTTTATCTTTGCCCTGGAGGATGGTTTAAAAGGATCAGTTTATAGATCATTTCACAGACACAGAGACCATAAAACACAGACAACAGAGGAAAGAGAGTTTGGATTCTACTCACGTTTGATTTCCACCTTGGTCCCTTGGCCGAACGTCCACCACAGTGGTGGCTCTTCATTGTCTCATTGTACAAAAACCCTTGTCACTGAAGAGGAACAGAGCCCTGGGTGAGCTGCTGAAGCTTAGCCCCCTCATTCAAGCAGGTGTAGAAACCATGGGGACTCTCTGACAGATAATATTTGTTTTCTTAGATGAGTTCTAAAATCCTAGAAGACAATATATTTTGTGTCTACAGCCAAATGGACTGCCTATTATTTATTCATTAAAAAACAGAGTAAATATAAACTGTAAAGAAAAACAAGCAAATTCAAAAGATAGCCATTTCTTTATACTTTTTTCCTGGGATGGGGATGGGGGACTTTTTCAAGTGATAAACTTCATTTGGTGTAATTATAGAACTCATTAGCTTCTCTCTGTTAATATAAGAGTGCCTTCCTATTTGAACTTCTCCTTTGCTATAATGTTGTTTCAAAAAGGGTAGATTAAATGTATATCAAAACAAATCTCATATCTTTGAAATATATTTTGGAATTGAGCTATGGATCATATGTGAAACAAAAATGAAGATCAATAGAGTAAATAAGTGGGTTTACTTGGTGGATTTGTCTGTTGTCACAGGAAAGGCCTTACTGAGCTGAACTAGGTGCTGTTTTTGGAGCTGCCATGATATGTACATAGTAACACATCAAAGACAATGAAGACCCTTTTTTGTTTTGAGCCCAGCTTCATTTATTGCAGTCTTATTTCCTTCTTAATCTTCCATTCCTATTCCCTTCCATATATTTCCCCAACTACCCTAAACTCCTTACAGTTCTACTGTGGCCTCTAGCTTTTACAAAACATTTCCTCTGATCAGAAACATTTTTGCCCACTTTGTCAGTTCATAAGCAGTTGTCTTTCAAGATCCAACTCAAGAGACTCTTTCTCTTATATTGTCCCTAAACAAGTGACCAGACTTTGCAGAGTACAGAGACAAGTAACTAGTTGCTCTTATCTTATCAGATTCTCTCTTCCCTGCTAGACTGTAAGCCATTTGCTATTTTATTTGCCTGTGTTTGGGACCATCAGTCCAGTACCTTCATTTGCCAAATGCTCAACAAATGAATACAAAAAGAATAATTGAAAATCAATGATCTATTAAACATGGTATATAATAGACCAAATATTAATATTGGTCATTATAACAGTAAGTTTTACAATACTAAGTTTTGATATTCCAAAGATAAGAGGTAGGTTGATTTGATTCTGTCCCTAGGAGTTTGCTAGTTACCTTGAATGGCAGAATCTGCAGTGGATCTGAATACAAGACAAAAAAAGAGAGAAATCAGTTTGTAGGAAGAGAAAAGAGAGACAAGTGGAAATTAAGTGTGCAAACAGGCCAATGAAGAACATAGCCAACAAGGATCCTAAAGAGGATAGAAAGTGTTTTTCTCAGCAATATCAATCATAAAGGTTGACATTTATTGAGCAATTACAAAGTGACAGACATTGTATGTGGATCACCACATTTAATTATCCCAAAGACTCTGTGAACTAGAAATTAATATTACTCTCTATTTTGTAGGTGGGAAAACATGAGCACAAAGAGGTCAAAAAACTGGCCTATGACAGTCAGTGGCAGAACTGGGATTTGAACCCATAGCTCATGTACTTAATTGCACATATTGCAGAGACTCTGGGAGTAAAGTCACCCAATGAAGGCAACACTCGTGGCAGAGAATGCTGGGGTGAGGGGAAGGAAAACTCCTCAGAGCATCCTAAGGTGGGAAATGAGTGGATAACTGTACTCATATGTTTATACAAGACTGTGCATTGAAATGTTTAAAGGGTCAAAGAATGAAAAATAACTGAAATCTTCACCAGTAAGAATTTGATTAAAATAGAATTTTACAGTGAAGTACAAAGCTATCAATAAGGTTGCTGTATAGTCACATAGAAAGTGTTTGTGCAAATGTAGGTCATGCATTTGTATGGTCTGATGTCATAATTCTGTTTAAATGGGTTGTATATTTATGTAAATACAAGCTAACTCTTTTTATTCCCCTTCCCATAGGCTAATTCTTAAAGGCTACACAAACTATACTGAATAGTTATCTTCTGGGATTGCAGAGGAGAAGTAATGACATCTCTTTCTACTCTTCTGTATATTGTATATAAGGCTGTATGTTGTAGATTATTTGATTTAAAAAATCACACGGATACATTCATCTTATGGTCTTCAGAAACTATAAAGCTGCACCATTGAAAAAAAGTAAACTCTGAGATTGCCTGATTCTACTCTCAATATTCACATTCAATGTATAAATATAAATTTGAAAGGATGAGTTTTAACATTTTTATCAATGAATCCTTTCCCTTTTTATCTTTAAACTGAGAATGCACAAAAGGTAAGAGCTTCTCTGGTTCTGTATAGGGGATAATCTTTTACAAATGGAGAGGTGGGAGCTGGAACAGGGACACAGAAAACATGACCTGGCTATACAAGCACATGCTCCTAAGTGAGCAAATTGGAGATTTAATGTGATCACTGTAGGCAGATGACTATTTTAAAGCCGTGCTTGGTCACATATAGTGGTGGTTGATAGGCAGGGTGGTTGTGATGTTTGTGCTGCTAGGCTCACTGAGAAGTAGTTGAAATCTTTAATAAATGTGGGGTTCACTAATTGGAGGCAAATGATGTCTCCAAAGCATCTGTGGGTGAGGCTCTGCCAGAATCCATGATTCTATATCCTGAACACTATTGATTGACAAACTATCTCAGCAATAAATATTCCTCAAGTGCTAACCATACCAGAAACACCATTTTGGCTTTTTTTTTTTGGTGCTTGGGATTAAACCCAAGACCTTGCACATACTAGGCAAGTGCTCTATCACTGTGCTATATCCCCAGTCCCATTTTTGCTTTTTGCAATAATTAACTAGCCTATTTGGAGAGGTTCCCTTCATATCAGTAACATGCTATCAACTCAGCATGTCAGGAACACAGTGCACAATTTTGCTCCCTCTAAGTTTTGAGTTATTGTAGATTTCCTACCTGGATCTGGAATATTTGTATGTGATATCCATTTTGAAGTCCGTGGTTCAGTATTTTATCCCAGCATGCCAGTCACAGTAGAGTCCAAGTTAGGTGATTCTTTTTTATTCAGCTGAATTCCTCGGATAGTAACTCTGTCATTTGCACTGTACCTCAGTTGATACTCCACAAGAAGAGGAGGGAATTCTGCGGTCCACAACCAGCGGTGCTTAGAACTGGCTAAAGTGTCATTCTTCTGGATTGACTGTCATAAGTAAGCATCTGTCCTGGATCCCCAAGGGGAGAGGTTGGGCTCCAATGTTCAGGAAGGAAGACAAAGAAGGTCACTTGAGGAAGAGTCACCTCTTTGTTTCTTTGTGTCTGTTTCCCTCATCTCTGAAGGCAGGTGAGCTGGCAGAGGCAAAGTCCTTTCCTGGCCATGTGCACATGTGTGCCATAAACATAACCCAAGGTTCTGGTAACACTGGAAAATATAGATGCACTTCTTGTTTCCAGGAGGACATTAGGCTGCAGTATTTTTCAGCTTCCTTGCGTGAAAGAGAAAACAGCAGCAACTGGGTAAGGGTTACAACCCCTGGTGGGCTCAGCCACAGATTTACATATTGGGTGCTGTGGTTTCCTGCTCATTTTACAAGAGTGATGAGCTGAGCTCTCGTGATCTGTCCTCAAGCTCTCTGCTCCCCTTATCTGCCTGTGATGTACTGTGTGTGGTTGTTTTTGTGACTGTAGTTTTGTCCCTAGGTTGACGCAACCTAGCGTGTATGTCCTACATATGGGTGGCCTCCTCTGGATAGAACGCTGGAGAGGAGCTGGTGGGCCAGCTGGTTTGCAGGTGTTGTGTGTGAGCGCATGAACTCCTCAGGTTATCTCTGCTTAAGCAGAGAGGGCACAGAACTACTGTCGGCGGTTAGATAAGAAGGACAGTCTCTAGGGGACTAGCAGAGGGCACCAGATAACAGAACAGAAACAAAACTGCATGGACCCTGAGTACATGAAGTCATATTGGGAGCTTTACAGTTTCCTCATTTTTCCCTGGTTTCAGTGAACTCCAGCTGCCAAGTCACCTTTTCTGGGAAATGAAGTTCTGCTCTCTTGTCCTGTCCAAATGGGTACCTAGTCAATATAAGAAGCCTTCAGCTTTTACCATATGAATAATTATAAATAGGCATTTATTAAACTCCTAAATAATGTGATGTCCTCAGTGATGAACTAAATTTTAAATGTGTATTTGGACCATTGAATTTGCCACTTAACAGTGATACTAGTTCCTTGTTTTGTTGTAGTTTCTGTTTTTTGTTTTATTTTTTGACAGTTTTATATATATGTATCAATATATATATATAAAACAAGACTTTTGTCCTGAAGATAGAGTGGAAATACTTTCTTTGACTTCTCTCATAAAGGACATCATATATAAAACAAATACATTCTGAGTGGTACCAGTTAGGAAACAGGAAATGACACAGAAATGAATCATTTTTTTTTTGCCAAATATATCCTAGACTTAGTACTGGAGAAGTTGGTGACCCAGAGACATCCACCAAAAAAAAAAAAAAAATCTTGGACAAAACTGGCTTTGTTTAGTCAGAGGATGAGAATGAGGAAAGAGACAGCCTCCTAAGACAAAAAGCTGTCAGAAAATAATTGCTGTATTCCAGTCATACATCATGAACCTCCACCTCTGCCTGCTCCCCGCAAAGGCCCTGGTGCTTAGAGTTTTACCCATGTGAAGTTGAAATGAAGGGCCCAGCTCCTGAGCCTGCAGGCATAGAAGAAGGGAGAGTAGGGAGCCTGGGCTTCATTTTGCACTTCATCACTACCCAGCACTGTCAAGGTACCGCTGTTCCTCCTGCTGGGATAGTAATGGTTGAGGACCAGTGGAGGGTCCTATTGGTAAGCAGCCACCTCTATTGTGCTGTCAGTGGAAACCACATGGGAAATGGCAATGCACCCCTCCCAGCTAGGGAGGGGTGCCATGTGGGAGCTGGATTCTCATCTCTGCCCAGCAG